CAGTGAATTACTTTCAAAAACCTAAAAGTGCACATAGGAAAGTTTGTTTGGGAGTGTGCGTTTAGGTTGTCACAGTGACACTCTTGTGCGTGTCACATGACTATCATGCTCACTTCGCCATGTTACATTTGGCCTCACACTTTTCAGTTTTATAATGTCACACAGTTTTGTTTATTTTGTAGATCAAGAGATTGAAATCACTTTCTCCCCTGCCAGCGTGCAACATCCGTGCACTGAACTGATATTTCAAGTGTGTAGCTAGCGTGTACACGCAGGACTCATTGCCAGTCAGCGAAAAGTGCGTTAGACACAAATTCCGTCCTATTTCTTATTGTGGGTCTGGAGCACACCACCACATAAACTCATCCGGGCCTGTTGCACTTAGTGGAGCTGCCTGTCCATAGTACCCGTACGTAAATTGTGTTTCTTTCGGCCGGCTGACGGTTATCCTTGTTATGAATGGGGCTGTCTCTCCCATACATATATATACCATTCAATCCGTCCCGCCACGCAAGGCTACGCTGCGTCTCCGAATGACAGACGGGCTCTTGGCGGGCGGGCGCTGCAGTAGCGTTCGGGTGAGGATCAGTCTCAAGCAACCAAAAACGGATTGTATCTTGCGAAGTATGTGAGAGCGGGAAAGGGGCATGAAACGGAATTTCATGGATATGCGACTGCGGCAACTATGTTTTAAAACAAACCTGGCCTGTGTGTCTTTCGCGAAGCAAAGAAATTGCTGTGTGTTAGCGCGGGGCACTTAGAGAAAAAGCCCGCATGTGGCACCTTTTCCAAACTCATTTCCCTCTTTCCAACGAGAGGCAGAGGCACAGAGTAGCGACAGGGACAGGGCTAACGGGATGGTGGAGGACGCGGATGACTTTAATAAACATTTATCAGCCAAGATGCCACAGACCCTGGCTAGCTGATCCCACTGCCTGACTGTGCTCACTGTGACTATGTTGCACTGTGCGTGTGTGAGAGAAAGGGAAGGAGGGAGAGAGGGAGGGTAAAAATATGGTTGCAAAACAAGGTATCTGTTTTAATAAAAGCCAAAAAAAAGGCCACGGTCCACGGAGACCATAGTATTTCGTATTTCTCTCTTTCCTGTTTCTTTTCATAACTCTGGAAAGCTGGGAAGCAAAATCTGTCGCGACCCTACCTTGTCAGAGTATTAAGTCTGTTGAATTTGTGCCACGAAGGCTGCCTCATGGTAGGCCGCATTGTCTGTCGCACTCGCCAACCTCTCGCGCTGTAGCTCCGGGCTTCATTAGCGCTATGGCTAATCCTCGAGGAGAAGCGAGGCGGGAGGGTGTAACCGAGTTAGCTGCGGTGTGCGCGGAATGGGGTTGGCTTGCGAGAAAGGGGTGAACAAGTATGACTATCATTTGGGCTTTCTTACCGTGCATGAGAGACGGCTCTTTTTGGAGCGAATACATTGGCTAATTTGGTGACAGTCAAGAAATTCGCTGTGACCTTTGAGAATTTTGTAGTCAGAGACAAGAAATAGTTGCCACAACGAACGCGTATTTTCGGGTTGGCTGTGGCAACTGACTCTTGTCTCTGCCTTCTAATTCTTATGTGTCACAGCGAATTTCTTGACTGTCACCAAATTAGCCAATTTATTCGCTCTGACAACTAATCTTTTTTATCCGGGGATGGGCAATCCAGCAAGCGAATCAAAATAACGCTTTAAATATTTTGATGGTCGTCGCGACGTCGCGTGCAGGGAGGTGCAATAGATTAATGACATTACGTGACGATCGCTCATAACAATGCGTTATGTACCACGTTTATATATCGTCGATATCCTGTCATACTCTGCAAATCTGTGTGGAAAAATTTGACTCCACGTCATCAAGCCGCGGCATTCTCCCATGATGAATGTCTTAATGACTGCTGTATGTGCATAAAGGAGCCCACACCTCCGGAACTGTCCTTTGCTGAATGACGCGTTTTCGTCGCCAGACCCGCGTACGCTTCTGTTGGATGTAGTAACACTACTTGTGACCGCGGGGCGCACCGTGCATTCCGCGAAGGCCTGTGGGCGAGGGCGGCCTGCAGCCCATACAGAGCGTGCGAGCAACAAGTTTCCATGAGCGGCGAGGTTCCTCGCGCGCGCGGCGTGCCTCCGCGCCGCCACGCCCTGTCTCAGGCGGTCTGTGCTGTGTAGTCCTGCATACACACCGTTTGAAAATTTGAGCTCTGCTTTAGTGTGCATCTCGTTTGAATTAGTTTGCCCTTCATTACCGTGCACAACATTATGTGAAGGTCTTTACTGGTCCTTGTTTCTAAAATAGTTGATACATCCATGTCCATCCAATACATCCAAGTCAATATGCATACTGACTTTAAATCGCTGTGTGCGATCGGCGTCCATGAACCTTTGCGCGGTGTCTTGAATGGGTCTTGAGTGTGTGTATTCTCTTGATGACATTTCCATTCTGCTCCACGCAAGCCTGCCGAGCTGTAGGCACGCGTGTGACTGTCAGCGCCTATGCAGCACACGGGAGGGTAGGGCGGGGCCCGGACCCGGCTGGTCCAGCTGGTGGGCGTGGCGCGGCGGGGCGCTGTGCAGCAAGGGCTGGGCCCCTTGCGCAACGCTTCCGCTCGCGCGACGGACGCCTCGCTTGTAATGCAATGCTGGGGTATTGGCTGCGGCATCGCGGAGACAACCTCCCTGAAGGCCGGGCGCCGGGCTCGCGGCTGGATTACGGACTTTTAGGTCTTATCATTTTTGTTCAATTCATAAAAGCTCATAATTGTGCCCGTCTCTCTTTTGTGGTGTATTCCAGCTGCTGGTGACCGTTCGAAGATTGTCAGAGTCTGGTGATCGCTTAGGTCGCGTCAGGACCGGCTGCCACATCCTTCAGCGAACGTGCCAACCTCCATCTCCGTATCCTCCACGTCTCTTGTTACTCCTCGTTCTCTCTCTCTCTCTCTCTCTCTCTCTCTCTCTCTCTCTCTCTCTCTCTCTCTCTCTCTTTCTCTTTCTCTTTCTCTCTCTTTCCTCTGCATCCATCATGGGCCACTTCTCGCCAGTTCCGTCCGTCCGAATGATTTGAAAGAATTGCGGTCATCGCATCCGTCGAGCCCTTTTTGGGCTGTTGCTTTTTCGTTGGTAATGCTTATGGCTCCGACGGACTAGGGGGTACAGGCCGCCATTTTCGCGGAAAAGGCTCGCACACGCGACATGACGGCAGAGCTCATCATCCCGCTGGGCGCCGCGCATTACCGCCCTGATCCGGCCCGGTAATGAAGCACTCTGCATAATGGAAAGCAAATTGAGTTATCCGCTCGTCGGGCGGGCCGGCCGGTGCAGCAGGCCAGCTGGGCTGGCCCGGGCGACACGACCCCGGCCCGGCACGGGGCCCGGCCGCTGCACGTATCTCCGGACGCCCACCTCTGCCGGCGCCCCGGCCCGGCCGCGTCCAATTTACTGGAGATGAAACCCTAATGGAGCGGGTTTGCTGCGCCCGGCTGCGCCGCGCCGCATCGCCTGCCGCGCTGGACCGGCTGGGCGGCAGTCAGTGTGTGTCACTCAGGGGGGCGTGCGCCCGTGTGTCGGCGGGCCAGAGGACGGAAAGGCGAGTCAGGGAAAGGTGAACGGAGGGAACGGTGATGACGTACTAAATGTCATGAGCAGGGCTCTTTGTCTTCTGCGCATGGCGCTCGTGTTGCTTTGGGTTGGCACCTCCTCGTTTCGTGTAATGAAGTAAATTGTATCGTCTGGCAATCCCTTCATCGTAGCCGGTCCGAATTGAATGGCAATTTCCGATTCTGTGCGCAGTGGGACGGGGGCAGGCTCCACCGCACGAGTGTGGGGCCAAGGTATCAATCGTAATACCACATCGAAGCGAGAGCCACCGACGTAACGCAAACAGAGCACAGTCGCCGTTTCAAAATGGTACAGGAGAGCACTAACCTGGTGCGTGTCGCACTATCTATGCGTCACTGCTGTGATCAGCATATCGCCGCAGCTTCAGGGATCGTGTTATTAAACTAACTGAATGGCTTGGGCGCAGCTGTTAATACGCGGTTGTTATGGAGCAGTGCCCATGAATCCGAGGGGGCAATAATTCCAGGAATCACCTGCCTTGGAATCATCCGGATAAAAATTAATCGAAATCAACCGAAACCGCCTTAACTAAGCGGAAAACTATAGTGGAACTGGTATGAATTAGTCGAAATAAACGTTTCTACTACTATAATACCTAGGGTATAAATATAAGTGGGGATTCACGGGGAATCAAGTATTTCGAGAATCATGTCTACGCATCAAAATAGCATGGATTTCGTAGGATATATTCCGACTCGGAACAGCCGCGGCCTCAGGCCTCAGCCATACGGACTAAATATCTGTGGCAGTGTATTCTCGCTGTCATGGCGGCCTGCCGTTCGGTCGAACATATTTTTGCATTTTCACTTTTCAAAACTGAAATGTACTATGCAAAGCATTCGCAGAGGCATTCCACCGCCTGCCATGTGCAGCATAGGCAACCTGCCGCCTGCAATGCGCAGCATAGGCAGCCCGCGGTGCACGGCTGGCGGTGGGTTGCCTATGCTGCGCGTTGCAGGCGGCAGGTTGCCTATGCTGCGCATGGCAGGCGGCCGGCTGCTGGGCGTTCTTTTGGAGAGATATGATTTAGAGTATCGGGAGGGGTAGAGGCTCTAAACCAAAGCTTGTCGTTCATGAAATTTGACGCGTGTTTAATTTCCTTTTTGCTTTTATCTGTTTCAGGCTGAGCTTGAGATCGGCGAGGTGTTCGAGGAATGGCAGACGGCTGCTGGCACCACGACGCGGGGCTTGGCTGCCCCAGGCGCCGCCCCCGACGCCGCCTCTCTGCCGCCGCCCCCGGCCTGCGTCCCCGAGCATGTCCCTGCCTCGCCGACAGCCGCTTTTGCTCGGCTGCCGCCGCCACCTCCGCCGCCGCCAAGGAGCTCGTCGCGGAGCAAGCTAGTGCTAAGGATACCTGAGCAGCAGCAGCAGCCCACTGCCCATCAACATGACGCCAATGATGTCCCCGACGTGGTAGTGGTGCGGGGGTCTCCGCTGAATGGTGACGCTACGCCACCCCGATCCAGCCGCCTGAGCAACAACAAGCGGCGCAGTCGGCGAGGGCGGGCGTCGCGCCGGTACAACACTGACACTGTGGTCCAGGACTGGGCTGACGACCCTCTCGCTGACTTTCACGAGCTGGTCCTCCAAGAGCTTGCCGCGCTCGGGCAGAACGCCCACGAGGAGGACGCTGACGTCACCAGTGTCGACGGAGCTGACACAATGCGCTTCTGGGTAGGCGGTAGCAGGGCGTCGCGTTGCACGCTGTCGGCCCCTGCTTCTGGGCTGGTGTCTCCCGTCGACTCGACGCCGTCCTCGCCGACGCCACCCGACGAGCAGCCCTGGCGTTCGCGATGGCTTAGGCGCAAGTTGACAGACGACGACGCGGTGCTCGTGAGCATCACGCCGTTGCCCGAGGACTCCGTGGACGACGACGAGGAGAGATGCCTCCGTACTGCGGCACTTCCGGACCTGCTCCCTGCGACGAGGCGGGCCGCTACGTTGCCCGCGCCGGGCGTGCAACAGTCGTCGCGTAGGCGGCCCGGGTCCGGCGGAGACATTATCGGAAACCAGGACGCCGTGAAGAGGAAGGCCAGTCTGGGCAGGCGCGCGACCGTGAAGTCGGCTGGGCCTGACCTGATCTCTGAAGACGATGTGCCGCCTGCGCTCAGCCATGGAGGGGTGAGTGAGACATTTCTTCTTCTTCTTTAGTAAGCTTTACCAGCCATTTTGTTTTTTGAATATTAATTCTTGCCTTTCTGCGACCAGCTCCCGTTGGCATTGCACAACCTCCTGGCCAAGCTGCGGCCCTCCCCCCGGCCGAGCCTCTCGACCGCCACCGTGGTCTTGGCGCCGCCGGACACTCCCGCCAATACACCCACCAGCCCGCGGAGCCCGCTGGACGCAGCGCGGGCAGGTCCGCGCTTCCCCGCGGTGGCCAGCACCATGGGCCTGAACCCCTTCCCGAGGGCGAACTCCCCAGACCTGACTGCGGACGCAGGCACTCAGACATCGCCGCCACTGTCCCGGAGCTCGTCCTTCACGTGGGTGTCGGACTCGTCGCTGCCGCTTCCGGACACGCCGGACACTCCAGACACGCCGGGCTCTGAGGACGACAGGTGCTCGTCAACGTCGTCCTCAGGCCTCGTGTTGGATGGTGGCCGCCAGCACGCCGCCTCCACCGACGACTGCCTCAGCTCTGTGGATTCGGCGGGTGGAGACTCCCCGTCCCCGACGCCTCCGGACTCGCCGCGGCTGGGGCGCGCGCGAGCTGTGAGGGCCAGCCGGGATGAGCGAGGCCTGCCTTCCTGGGGAGCGTGCGAAGAGGAGGGACACGAGTCTGGCATCGGCACTGCCTCGCCGCCTCCCTCACACCCCAGCAGAAGTGAGTACACACGGAGCTGTCATAACTTCACCAGGCGGCATAGAAAATTCCAAAACTGCGAAATCGCCAGCGCCGTCTCTGCCGCGGCGCTGTACTCTAAAATTAGTGCCTTAATCGGCCCTTTACCGGACCCTATTTGGATTTAGAGAATATTTAAAAATTCTAGAGGTATGTGTAATTTGGCTAGAATTGCCTAAACTATTCTTAAGAAATACAACAGTAGGTCCAATATCCGACTGTTCCAAATGTAAGTTAGTAAGTTGCCATTCGGTTGGATTTCCAGAGTTTAATGCTCGTCAAGCCAAAAAGTCGCACGGTAAATACAACGTGTGAATTTTTGAGAGAAAGGAAAGAACTTTAAAGGAAACTTTCATAATTTGAGGAGAGTCCTCAGATTTAGGAGGTCATCGGACATCTCTTATCAAAAGCTAAGGGAAATTCCCACAGTTTTCGGGGAGACTTTCCCAAAACCTGAGATTTCCCCTCGGAAGGTCTCTTCTCTTCTTTTTTTTCAAAAAAAAAAAACAACAAACAAAAAAACATTGATTTTACCGTGCGCGAGTTCAAGTACCCCGGAGATCTCAGAGGTGGGCTGATGCTCGGTGCTCGGTCCTTAACTATGGTCACTTCTGTGAGGGAGGAGGTGGGAGAAGGCGGCTGGGCTATCAATCTGCTGTCGGCCGTCGACTGCTGCCCCTCCCCCACCTCCTTGCCCTCTGACTTCTCACCGCCTATATAGCTATCTCTTTCGCTTCGCAATGGAAGGTGTTGCGAATTTGCAAATTTGGACCTGGAGGCACCGAGGCACCCTGCGGTGTGTAGTCGCGCGGTGTACTGCGTCATCCTCTCCTCCTTTGCCGCTGTTGTGCACTTTCGAAATTAGTCAGGAACTTCCAAACAGCCCGTCCCCTTCTGCGTTCTACTTAAACTTCCTCTTCTTCGCTATTACTCGTCTTAGGTATTGAAGAACTCTAGGCAAGTCGAATCTCTCTCTTCTACTTTTCGCC